TTTGGACGAATGTCATAGAATTCGTCCAGGACATGAACAAAAAAGGTTGTCAAAGTTGCTCTTGGGTGGACATATGGAAGAATGTCCAGCCTAATGGTAACAATTTAAATTTAATGGTGAATTACTCTAACGGTTCTTATAGTTTGGGACTTGCGTCTTTTTGGTCCCTAACTTTTCAATTGTGACACATTTGATCATGAATTTTGAATCTTGTTCCAAATAAGGACAATTGAAGATACCATTAGATTTTTCAAGGACACAATCGTCAATTTGATAAAATATAAACTAATTTGACAAAAATAAATGTCAAAAAAATATTTTTAAATTTTTAAAAATGATTTCTTATGTAAAATTGATAAATCTTTTAGACATTTATTTATTTATTATCAAATTAATTTTTATTATGTGTTTGAATGATAATCATGTAATGGGTAATTGTTCTTGTTGCCATTAAATTAGTTTCTATTTTTTCAAAAGTCAAATATGGTGACAATTTTGATATCATTATTAAATCAATCCATAGAATCAAAAAATCTAAAACTAAAAACATTTCATATATTAAATATATCAATTACACATAAAAAATTTAATAACTACCCATCATTACATGATCATCATCCAAATATATAATAAAAATTATTTAGTAAAATAAATAAATAAATGTTTAAAAGATTTATCAATTTTATATAATTTTATCTTTGATGGATAAAAATAATTTTTAAAAATTTAAAAATATATTTTTTGTCATTTATTTTTGTCAAATTAATTTATATTTTATCAAATTGACGATTTTGCCCTTGAAATTAAGTAATGATATTTTCAATTATCCTTATTTGGAACAAGATTCAAAATTCAAAGTGAAATGTGTCATAATTGAAAAGTCAGGGATCAAAATGATACGAGTCCCAAATTATAGGGACTAATAGTGTAATTCGTCCTAAATTTAATGAATGATCAAACCTCACTCAATTTGATAAAATATCTGCTTCACCCTCCATTTGATATCGCTTTGATGATTGGGTTGGATCTCATATTTTAATTTTTTTTTTATCAAATTTAAATTTAATGAAATATTTGAGTAAATGTTAGAGATGGTCTTATTTACGGTTTTTATTGAGAAAGAATTTGGTGAAGCTTTTATTTACGATTGGAGTAAAAAAAAAAACTAATTATTAAAAATTTGGAAAAAGACACTTTTAATTTCTTATTTTTGATAGTCTATTTTGTGCTTGCAGGATAGGTTTAATGAAAAGAATCCTTAAAAGAGAATTCAGTCATGCTACATTATTACAAAAAAATTTCACAAATCACTCATTCATAGGTTCTGATTGGTAAAAGTCTATTCACTTATACTATGACACTAAATTTTTATTGGTCAATCTATAAAAAGATGTTTTGTAAAAGATTTTTGTGAGAATGAATCATTTTTCCTCGAGAATTATAGGCTAAACTTGGGGAGAATTATCTGTCACGGATAGTTTTTAAAACTTATAATTATTAATATTTGTAATACTTACCACTTTATATTATAGATATTAGGAGTGTTCATGGGTTCCTTTGACACTACATTTTTAAAATTTTAGACTCAAAATTAAACCAATTATGTACTAGAACCAATCCAATACAACCCAATATAGTTCGGGTTGATTCACGCTGGACCCACAGTTCCACTATATTACAAATAAGGAAATCAATTAATAATAAATAATTCTTTAACATTTAAATATAACACAAGTAAAAACTAAAGTATTATTTAATACAAGCTGATACAAATTAAATTCAACTCAAATTTAAATATACTCAGTACAAGTTAAATCCATTAATACAACCAATACAAATTAACTCAACTGCGAAATCTGACTCAAACTTCTAGTACTTTTTTCGTTTACCTAATAATTCTTTTATATGAAAAATTATTAGATGTAATCAAATCCATTATAATAGAGAAATAAGGTGAAAATATGTTAATAAATAAAATTTTAAAAATTATATATATAAATAGATTTAGTTTAAGCAATGATTTAAAATCAAACCAGTACACTCAAAAACCAAACCAATTTAACTCAAAAAGATCGGTTCAGGCCTCGTTTAGGAACAAGTTATTTTAATAACTTTTTGATTATTTAGTTAAAATATAAGGTAAAAAAAATTAGTATGTTTGGAGTGACTTTTTAACATTCTATAAAAAGATGTGTAAAAAATAGAGAGAAAAGAGAATCTTTTTAGTATATGTTATAGGCTTTTTAATTTTTTTAATAATTTTTTGACTTTTAAATGAAAACAATTACTTACCAAACGAGGCCTTAGGCCTCGTTTGGGAACAGGCTATTTTAGTAACTTTTTGACTTTTTACGAAAAGATGTGCAGAAAAGTAGAGAGGTGATGTGACTAGTTTTAGTTGAGTTTTTGAATTTTTGACTAAAATAGCCACTCCCCAGACGAGACCTTAGTTTGATTATTCAATTCACTGTATAATTTAACAAAAATGCTTTAGACCACTAATTAGTGGTGGCTCTAATGACCCACTGCCACATGTGTTTTGTGCCTTTTTTTTTTTTTTTTTTCTTTTTTTTTTTCAATTACCACCTCACTAGTGGTGGTATTAATGATGGTAAATTAGTGATGTACAGCATTGTTCATAATTTAAACCCCTAATAGACACTACTGTGGTGTTATCTACTCCTAATAGGCCCACGTTGACTATTTGACAAACTCTACTAAGCGGAGTAAGGAAAAGATTTTTACTTTATTTTTTCAAATAGTTTTAATTTAATTAATTTAACATTTAGGCTGTGTTTGGGAGGATTTTGGAACTTTAGTTCCACCCTTTAGTTTGTATATGACGTTTGTTTGTAACTTTTAAAAATTAATTCCACGCTCACTTTTGAAAACTCAATCGAAGGTGAGAAAATTTGTGCTAACGGGTCGTCCCACCAGACGTCCTATCGGACATCCCACCGGTCGTTTGGCCAATTGATCGGAACAGTGTAATTTTTTTTTGGGGCACAATTGACACATGTTATTTTTTTATATATTCAACAATAAATATTTTGCAAATTTTTAAATTTTTTTATGAGCTTTAATAGAATTTTAAGTTGTGTGTTTGGTTATAAGTTGTAAATTTTTGTCTCAAATATCATATGTCACATCAAAATTTTCTCACTCAATTCAAAACTCTTTTCAAAACGCTTTCACCAAACAAATTTTCACACTCAAATCATAATTTCAAAACTCATAAAATCGAAATACAACTCCTATTCTCAAATTATATTTAGAAAGTTCTACCAAACACTACCTTACATTTTTAATTTTGTTACAAATGTGATTCTTCCATCATTTATATCTAAATTTTTAATGAAAAAAAATTACGTGCAAAAGTAGAAGGATTAGAGTAGAATTCAAAATAAACTAATTTCTTTTAAATTCTACATTGTCTCTTTAGACTGTTTTTTGTTAGAGAATTTAATGAAAGAAATGAAAAGAGAAAGGAAAATATAATGAAAATGAGAAAGAATTAATAAGATTCGAATTTCAAATTCTATTTGGTTGAGTTAAGAAATGAAAAAAGAAAAGAGTGTAAATTCAAAAGATAAAAAGTGAGATTAAATTTTTCTCACTTTATTTTCTCATTTATTTTCTAGCATAACCAAACAAAAAGTAAGATTACATTTCTTTTTCTCTTTTTATTTTTCTTACCAAACCCTCCAATTAAACATATTCTTAGTATTACGCTTGGCAATTTTTCAACAGAGGAAAATTTAAAATATAAGATTCAAATTATTTAAATTAATATCTAAAAATTAAAATAATACTTCACTCAAACTACTAGGTCCCACCGACATGTAATTTGCAACCCCTTTCACAGCCACTTTATTCCCCTTACAATTGTTAAAATACAATATGAAAATGTCAAAAAAAAAGATCCCATCATCCATGTTCTTCATGCTCTGCATGGGGGAAGAGACTAACCAATTTCTCCTCTCCACTGACATTTAATTTGCAGCCCCTGACCTGTAATTTGCCGCCCCTATTTCCCCTTAAAATTGTCAAAATACAATATGAAAATGTCAAAAAAAAGTTCCCATCATCCCATGCTCTTCATGCTCTGCAGGGGGGGAAGACACTAACCAATTTCTCCTCTCCACCATTCATTCAATTTTAATATTTGACAATACTGTTGAATATTCCTTCATTAATTCCAAGCATTAATTAGTTGGGACCCATCTTGTTAGCCAAAGTAGGGCACATAAATGTGATGAAAATTATGATTTTTTTTAATAACAATTATGAGTAATAAAGTTATGATAGATATTTCTAAAGTTATGTTTTTTTTGGTAGGAGTTATATTTATATTTTTTGTGATGAGAAAAAGTTATACATTTTATAAAAGTATAATTTTCATCACAAAATGTATAACTAGTGTAACTTCTATCACAAAATGTATAATAATATTTTCTCATCACAAAGAATATAACTCTCACTAAAAAAATCATAGGTAGCGTTTGGCAGAGTTTTAAAATTATAATTTGAGAATAAAGTTGTATTTTGAGTTTGTGAGTTTTGGAATTATGATTTGAATGTAGAAGATTTGTTTGGTTATGAATTTTAAAAAAAGTTTTGAATTGAGTTTGAAATTTTTGATGTGACATATGATATTTAATTCAAATACTTACAACTCATAACCAAACATACAACTCAAAATTTTATTCAAAACTCATAAAAAAAATTTAAAAAATTCCTAAAGTATTATTTATTTAAAATATAAAAATAACAATTGCAAAAAAAAAAAGGTATACTGTTTCGGACAACTGGTTGGACATTCAGGGGGACGTTCGAGAGGATGAATGGGTAAACGTGTTTTGAAAAATGAGTGTGAATGTAAACAAACACCATATTGAAATCAAATGGTGGAATCATACTTTGAAAAACACAGCCATAATTTTTCCTACGATATGTAAGTGCACATTGCAGAACTTCCCTTTCCATCTTATTATATAAGCATGTGTTGGGCTAAAGTAAAAACATCCAAAGCTCTCTTTTCGCCTTTGACAACCTCATCTCATGCCAAAAATGTTATAAAGGCAAAACCTTAGAAAACTAGTAGTGGGTTTTTTTCAGTTAGTGTTGCATTTGTTTCTTTGTTCTTGTTTTTGTTTTTGTTTTCAATCTAGGTTGTAGTATGGAAGGTGGTGATATTTGTAGAGCAAGTAGTAGCTTAAGAACAAACAGTTCTTCAATTTGGAGGAACAATGGTGTTGAGATTTTCTCGAGATCATCTCGAGGAGAGGATGATGAAGAAGCTCTGAAATGGGCTGCCATTGAGAAACTTCCCACTTTTAATCGTTTGAAAAAAGGGTTGTTGAAAGAGTCACTTGGTGTAGCCAATGAAGTTGATGTTCAGAATCTTGGATTTCAAGAAAGAAAGGATTTGATTGAGAGGTTGGTGAGTATAGCTGATGAAGATAATGAAAAGCTCTTGTTGAAGCTCAAGAATCGAATTGATAGGTAAGAGCAACTCCAACACTCTCTCGCCAATCGTGTTATCTTTAAATATATATTTTTTAAGATAAAATGTTAGGCCAAGTTTGGCATGATTGAAAAAAGATAAAAAGTCAAAAAGTCACTATCCTATTTAAGTCATATCATCTTATTTAAGTCACATCACCTCTCTAACACATCATTTCAAATCCAACCCAAACCCAACCTATATTTCATAAAAAGTCAAAAAGTACACTTATTTAGTCTTCCCAAACTAGGCCTTAATTTTGTTAACTTTAAATATATATTTTTTAAGATAAAATGTTAATTTTAAAATATGATACAATAGATCAAAATATCAATATATGTTATTCATGCACGGTGTTTTTTATGGTCCCAAATGAAAAAATGATGTTAATTTTAGCAGGGTTTATGTTTAAATTGATTTTTTTTTTTAAAGCAAAGGCGCATTGTTTTAAATTTCAACAATGATAGGGTCACTTTTTGTTGGAGGACCACATAATCTCTAAAGTGATCTATACCACTCAGGATGTGTGAGATCCACTCATTTTCCTTTAAATTTATTTACTTGATTTATTATAGATTTTCCAAACTTAGGTCTTTCTCTAAAGCCGTGAGCTGAATACAATTAGGAGATTTGGTCAAAACTCTTTCATAATAAAATTATTGAATACAATTGGGAGATTTGATCAAAACCCCTTCACAATAAAATTTTAATGCATGAAGGACAAAAACAAAAAGTTTTTCTTGAAAAGTCTAACAAATTTCACTATTATCAAAATATTAAATTTTAAAATAATATAACTTTTGATGTAAATGTTAGTTTTTAATAAAGTTAATATTTTTAGAATTCTGTTATCAAGATCTATCAAATAAAATCCATGTTGACTATGAAATTTTTTAAAAAAAATAAAAATTATTACCATTGAAATTGATGTAAACAGTAACAGTAACATGTTACTTTGTCTGACAATTACTCTATTTGACAGTAACATGTTACTCTGTCTCACAATAACATATTATCTGTTTGATATTAACATGTTACTCTGATTCACAGTAACATCTTATTTTGGCAATATTGTCTACGAAAAAAAAAAAGATATTTTACTTTGTCCTTACTTAATTATGTGTTTTCTCCTTAGGGGGTTTATAAAAAATAAATAAATTGGACTGTCAATTTCACCAAATAAAAGTCCAATGGAGGGATTTTGACTAAATTTTCCAATACAATTTTAGTTTAAAGTCAGTGCTTTCAAAACATAATTTCAAATAAATTATTATAAAAACACTGACTTCTCAAACCATTAATTTCTTTAAATTTATTATATTATCCCTACCAAAATTTTATAAATTAATATAAAAAAATGAAAAACTAAATTAGGATTTAAAAAAAAAATACTAAGCATCGTATAATTAGGATTTAAAAAAAAATACTAAGCATCATATAAAAAAAATTTTAATTCAAAATATAATTTTAAGACATTCTAAATACATAAAACATAATTCTTCATCAACTTTGCTCTCGTTATTGTGATCACATAGGCTTAATAAGATAACCGCAAAATTCATTTTATTCTATTGTGATTTGAGAGTAGAGTATTTTACTTCCTATGATTCAAATATAGTTAGAAAGTCTTTATATGATTTTGGACCAAAGTGAATTTGTTTGAAAAATAATCAATGGGCAATATGAGTTTGAAAATAGTTTGTTTATTTTTTTCTGACAAATATAACCTGATCAAGTAGTTAATGATGTTTAATCAATTTAATTTTTTATTTAAATAATATGCTTGTGTGTCCTATAAAATGCTCAATTTAGATTAATGAAATGAATTTGAGGTGACCCACAGTGGGTCATGCTGTATAGGCCAATTTTTTTTGCGAACAACCCAAACTGTATAGGCCAATTGGAGACAATAAAATCCCACTTTAGATATTTTTTGCTATCCTGAAAAAGTAATCCTTCCTATCCCAAGAGGCAAGGCCTCATCTTGGCTTTTTATTAATAAAGCTCAAAAACTTTTAAAAAGTTATATAATTTGGGAATTGACTTTTTAGTGAGATGAAAAAAAGTTAATGCATTTGGATTTAATTTTTGTTTGTTGCATTGAAAATCGTCAATTATTGAGATGTTTGATTTTTTTTAGTAATTTTTTTATTTTTAATTAATTTTTTAACCTTTGAGGCTATTTTTAGCCATAAAACCAAGTTGCCAAAAGAAGCTTAAAAACATCAAAAAGTAAAAAAAATTATTAAAAAGTCAAATTATATGTATTAGTCATTCATGTTTTTTCATATAACGAAAAAAATTAATTCCAAACACATTTGGTTAATTCATCTTCTCAGAAAATTGAGTTTTTTTTTTTTTTTTTTGTATTTTTTTTTAATTTTTACTATTTTTTTTAATATTTTAAGCAATTTTTTTAGTTTGTGGATACACCTAATACAAATACACTTGAAACGTATAATATTTATGAAAAAAATATATAAAAATTTCACTAAATTAATTCTTTGTGACGAGCTAAAATTTCTGTGCCAAAATTTCTCTATACTGAAATTTCTCTGTAAAAATATTAAGGGACCCCAACTATTATAAAAATATTACATATTTTTTATTTTGTAAAATCTTAATATTAAAAACCTTAAACTAAAAACCCAAAAATAATATGTTTATTAACATAATTCTTATTTTTATTTTTTATGAAGGATATACACAAAAATGTAACTCTTGGAGAAACCCAACCATTTTTGAAACTTGGGTGGGAAAATGTTTGACGGCATGAAAATTTTGATCATTTTGTCTCATTCGTTTGCCTATGAATACACAATGTGTGGACATTTTAGTAACGGTTGTGTCCTTGATTCATAATTATGTCAGAGTTGGAATTGAAATGCCAAGAATTGAAGTGAAATTTGAGAGGCTTAAAGTTGAAGCAGAAGCTTATGTTGGTAGCAGAGCCTTGCCTACTTTCTTTAACTTTTCTGTTAATATACTGGAGGTATTTTTATATGTACTTTAACAATTGAAACTTGACAGACATTATTCATTATGCTTTTTCATTATACATATTTTAATTTCTTCAATTTTGCTGTTTTTAATGTAAGTGAGTGGTTCTTCATTCTGATTTTATTTTTTATTTATTTATTTATTTATTTATTTTTTTGTGGTTATGTTGGAAAGGGTTTTTTGAACTATCTACATATGCTTCCAAGTAGAAAGAAGCAATTGTCTATCCTCAATGATGTCAGTGGAATCATCAAACCCTGCAGGTGAGAAGCTGAGATCAGTTGTTTCTCCAACAATGTTGTGATTAGTTCCATTATTGTCAAATTGTGAATCAAATTGCAAATCATTTTGTTAAAATAGTGAATCGTATATATATGTATATACGTATATCGATATAATTAGTTGATATTTTTTTCCTCAAAAAACGCTGCCATTTCATTTCATGTATTATGAAAACAAACTTGAATCACTTAAATTGTAATGGATCACAATGAATTCTAGTGAATTGCAATAAAAATTATATGATTCATTGAATTTAATATATAACTGAAAAGAATTGAATTGTTTTATTTGAAACTCACATCAGATAGTATAAATCAAGTCATGAATTGTGAGATTTTCTAACGACCATTTGCATTTTTTCCATTTTCAAATTTGTATCTCTAGGGAAATTCATTTATCATATTGATCTTTCTTGTGATTTTTTGCAGAATGACTCTGCTTTTAGGTCCTCCAAGTTCTGGAAAGACTACACTGCTGTTGGCTTTAGCCGGAAAGCTTGATACTGATCTTAAGGTAAATACATGTCATTGAAATTTTAATTCTTTCATGGAATTTCAACTTTTAGCTATAAAGTATTGGGCATGTATCAAAAAACAAAAAACAAAAAACAAAAATGAAAGGTATAGTGTAGATTACATTTTTTGGGATACTACTGTATAGTAATGTTGAGAATTATATGGCTAAACTGATATTTTCTATTTTTTGCAATGCTAGGTTTCTGGGAGGGTGACTTTCAATGGCCATGAAATGCATGAGTTTGTACCGCAAAGAACTGCTGCATATATCAGTCAACACGATCTCCATATCGGGGAAATGACTGTGAGAGAAACCTTGGCATTTTCAGCAAGATGCCAGGGTGTTGGATCCCGTTATGGTTAGAAACAAAAACTGTTCTTTTATTTCTCTCTCTCTCTCTCTCTCTTTATGGTTTGATTTGTTTACATACATTGAAAATCATGTGCACTGATGACTTACTGACATATATTTATTATTCTTTTTCAAACATTTGTAGAGATGTTAGCAGAGTTGTCAAGGAGAGAGAAAGCAGCAAATATTAAGCCTGATCCTGATATCGATATCTTCATGAAGGTAAGAAAGCATTACTACCAACTTCGAAGAACTTTTCCAAAGAGATATAGTGTGCAGTACTGATGCTAGTTGTTTCCATTGAAGATCATATGAGTTATCTTCCCTCAACTTGAATGATAATCATAACATCGATTGAATTTGAATTCATTGGTTTTCGTTAAGATGCAATTTATAATGCGTCATCTTTATGTGAATTTTATATTCCAAATCTTGTCAGGGTAGTCAAGGTGCTCTCTAATATTTTTCTTAGTTTTTTAGCGTCAGTTGGGATACCTTGGGAATTTTGTGTACAATTCATGATCAATTAGTATAAAATTCAGGGTAGAGGATTTTCCTATGTTGTAAAACTTGTTTTCGATAAACTTATTCCAAATCTTTTCATGATCAATTTTGTTGGAAAAATTTTCATCACGGTTTTCGATAATTCAGGCAATAGCAACAGAAGGGCAAGAGGCAAGTGTGGTCACAGATTATATTCTAAAGGTACTAAAACAACAAGAGTATTCTAATTCTCTGGAGGAACATAAGACTACATAAATTTATTTTTTATATCCTTTCCTCCCAAATTACAGGTTTTGGGTCTGGAAGGTTGTGCAGATACCATGGTTGGAGATGGAATGATACGAGGTATCTCTGGAGGACAAAGGAAACGCGTCACAACAGGTAAGATTACTCAATTCCTAATTTTTAAGCTATGAAGTCTTTTTTTTTTTCTTACATTTCTTTTTTCTCATTTATGCTAATTGGTTGAAGTTTTTGGATCTGTAAATTACAGGTGAGATGCTGGTTGGACCAGCAAAAGCCCTTTTCATGGATGAGATATCTACTGGTTTGGATAGTTCGACAACTTTCCAAATTGTGAAGTCCCTGAGGCAGTATGTCCACATTCTCGAAGGAACAACTCTCATCTCTCTCCTGCAGCCGGCACCAGAGACTTATGATCTATTTGATGATATCATTCTGCTATCTGATGGTCAAATTGTTTATCAGGGTCCCCGTGAACATGTGCTTGGGTTTTTTGAACAAATGGGCTTCAAATGTCCAGAGAGGAAAGGCGTGGCTGACTTCTTGCAAGAGGTAAGTGTATATCCGTATTGGGTTTCTCTCATTTATAATTAAAATGAACACAAGTTTAACAGTTGAAGCTTATATAATTTAAATATGATCACAGGTGACGTCAAAGAAAGATCAAAGGCAGTATTGGGCATGTAAAGATGAACCTTATAGTTTTGTTGCAGTCAACGAATTTGCTGAGGCATTCAAGTCTTTCCATGTTGGTCAGATGCTTGGAGATGAGATTGCAGCCCCATTTGACAAGACACAAAGCCATCCAGCTGCTTTGACAACAAGAAAGTATGGTATTAGTAAGAAGGAACTCTTAAAAGCTTGCACCTCAAGAGAACTCTTGCTGATGAAGAGGAACTCATTTGTCTACATCTTCAAGCTCATGCAAGTGAGTATGCTATATACACAATAGCACACATATTTCTAATTTTTCGTCCTAATTTTGTAACTGTTATTACTGATAACCTCTATTTCTACTTTTAGGTTACTGTTATGGCATTGATTACAATGACACTCTTCCTACGAACTGAGATGCACCGAAATTCAGTAACTGATGGAGGAATATACACTGGTGCTATGTTTTTCACTGTGATTATGATCATGTTTAATGGGTTATCAGAAATTTCCATGACAATTGCAAAGCTTCCTGTCTTTCACAAGCAAAGGGACCTTCTCCTTTATCCCCCATGGGCATATGCTTTTCCCACATGGCTTCTCAAGGTGCCTGTTTCATGTGTTGAGGTTGCCTTTTGGGTGCTCTTTACTTACTACACAATTGGATATGATCCTAATGTGGGGAGGTAAAAACTTTAAGATGAAAAAATGAACATGTTGAGAATTTGTTCATATCTGTTTTGTGTCTTTCTTTTTGTCCTAATGTAATGGCCTCACTGCAGATTGTTTAGACAGTACCTGTTACTCTTACTTGTAAACCAGATGGCTTCTGCATTGTTCCGATTTATTGGGGCAGCGGGTAGAAATATGATTGTCGCAAACACGTTTGGATCATTTGCATTGCTCATGCTTTTTGCATTGGGTGGTTTTATCTTATCACGAGGTATAATACATGGAATTTTGAGAACATTTTTTCTCATCCTTGAACTCTAATAATTGTTTGTGTCCGTTTTTTGATTCCACAGAGAATGTAAAAAAATGGTGGATATGGGGTTACTGGATGTCGCCATTGATGTATGGACAGAATGCAATTCTAGTAAATGAGTTCCTAGGGAATAGTTGGAGACACGTAAGTCAATGAATTTAGATTGTATTTTTGCATATTAATTTTTCTCCAATTGAAATTAGCTGATATTTGAATTCTTTTATATGTCAAAGGTTCTCAAAAATGAAACAGAATCACTAGGAGTAGTGGTCTTGAAGTCTCGAGGGTTCTTCCCTGATGCATACTGGTATTGGCTAGGAGTTGGCGCATTGCTTGGATTTCTTTTCCTATTCAACTTCTGTTTCACTCTGGCTCTCACTTATCTCAACCGTGAGTATCATTAAAATCTCAGTTTTGAACCAATTCAATGCAAGAGCTCTTGTACTAATCCATTGCAAAATGGTACAGCTTTTGGGAGGTCTCAAACTGTTATACCAGAGGAAAGTCAAAGCAATGCAAATGATGATCGAAGTGGAGAATCCATTCAACTATCGTCTAGGGCAAATAGCTCTGTTGGGCGAACTGTATCCAAAGGTGATGAATCATCTTCACTTGTTATGTATCTAAAGGTGACTTTATATTGTTAAAATGCCAATCACATTCAAATTGACATGCAGAGAGAGGAGATCAGATTAGAAGGAGAAATATCACGTCTGAGTCCTCATCAGCAAGGACAATAGCCAATGTTGACGCCAACAAGAACAGAAAGAAAGGAATGATTCTTCCATTCGAACAACATTCCATCAGCTTTGATGAAATTAAATACTCTGTTGACATGCCTCAGGTAACAAGATCTAAAAGATTTAACAATTGATTTATTGGTGTGTGTTTGGATGCAAGTAAGGTATTGTCTCAAAGAAATGTAGTCAGTAACATGACTGTAATTGTTGAAATGTGACCTACAGGAGATGAAAGAGCAGGGTGTAGTTGAAGATAAGCTAATGCTTCTAAAGGGTGTAAGTGGAGCTTTCAGGCCAGGTGTTCTGACGGCCCTAATGGGTGTAAGTGGTGCAGGTAAAACAACCCTAATGGATGTACTGGCAGGTAGAAAAACTGGGGGATATATTGAAGGTAACATTACAGTTTCCGGCTATCCAAAGAAGCAAGAAACATTTGCTCGAATTTCTGGTTACTGTGAACAAAATGACATCCATTCTCCTCATGTTACCATCTATGAGTCATTGCTTTACTCAGCTTGGTTGCGGTTGCCTCCAGAAGTAAATTCTGAAACTAGAAAGGTTAGTGTTGCAATTCTTTTTTTTTTCTTGTTTCCTGCATTTTTTTTTAATAAATGAAACATTTAGAACTGAAAGCAACTAGAAGTAACACAAAATTTCACTTTTGAACTTCACTTGGTTGAGCTATGGTCAAGCTTGAGTTCATGTATTTGACCCTAACCATAGCCATCATTGCTCGTGTTCTTGAACATTATTTGTTCATGTAGCTTGTCTACATTAATCAATCTAAAATTAAATGAAACACGTTTTCCTGTTCATGTAGCTTGTATACATTATCAAGATTTGTGTCGTCTAACAAGTCACCATTGATAATATATGTGCCTACTGTTTTTTTCATAGAACCATCAACCAATCATCACAAAAAAAATAAAAATAAATAAATAAATAAAATTATCATATTTGATTCTGACTGCAGATGTTCATTGAGGAGGTAATGGAACTTGTGGAGTTGACTTCATTGAGGGATGCACTCGTTGGATTGCCTGGTGTTAGTGGTCTTTCAACTGAGCAGCGGAAGAGGCTAACAATTGCTGTTGAGTTAGTTGCTAACCCCTCCATAATTTTCATGGATGAGCCAACTTCAGGGCTAGATGCAAGAGCTGCTGCAATTGTGATGAGAACAGTTAGGAACACTGTTGATACAGGAAGAACAGTTGTGTGCACCATCCATCAGCCAAGCATTGACATATTTGAAGCTTTTGATGAGGTAAGAATTATTGATACTTATCAAAAACTCTCTTCCTTTATAGGTTTGCTTATATGAATAAGATATTAACTATAAGATATGGGGTACAGCTTTTCCTAATGAAGCGAGGAGGCCAAGAGATTTATGTGGGGCCATTGGGTCGACGTTCTTGCCATCTAATCAAGTATTTTGAGGTGAGATGCAATGGACAATAAATAAATAAAAGCCATACTATGCTATTCGAGCTTTTAAATGGTGGCAAACTCTTACTAACCCAAGTTTGGTTTTTGACAAGGGAATTGAAGGAGTAAGTAAAATCAAAGATGGCTATAACCCAGCAGCTTGGATGTTGGAAATTACTGCTTCAGCCCAAGAATTGATTCTAGGGGTTGGTTTTGCTGAAGTGTACAAAAGTTCTGAACTGTACAGGTTCCTCATTTATAGAGCACATAACTACATAATGAAATTGAGATGTTACAAGCTTGCTGAAGTTTGTTCTCTAGGATTTTTTTTTTTTAAAAGAAAAAGAAAAGAAAGTTTCAATACACCTTTTCTCGTTATCCATCCTAAACTTGTGGTTGAAGCCTCTACTAACATATCACATAAATTTCAGGAGAAACAAAGCCCTAATTACAGAATTGAGCACACCTTGTCCTGGTTCAAAGGACCTCTATTTCCCTACTCAATATTCAAAGTCTTTCTTCACCCAATGCACGGCTTGTCTATGGAAACAACATTGGTCATATTGGCGTAATCCACCATACACTGCAGTAAGATTTCTCTTCACAACCTTCATAGCACTGGTGTTTGGTACGTTGTTTTGGAATCTTGGTTCCAAAAGGTAAGTTCCAAAAGAGAGTATGGCATATTAAGCCACAAGTTGAAGCTCTTAATCATCTCTACATTAATTTTGATACATTGTTATCGTATGCTCAGGACAACACAACAAGATCTGTTCAATGCGATGGGTTCTATGTATACTGCTGTTCTCTTCCTAGGGATCCAAAATGCCTCATCAGTGCAGCCAGTGGTGGCTGTTGAACGAACAGTCTTTTACAGAGAAAGAGCTGCCGGAATGTATTCTGCCATGCCATATGCCTTTGCTCAGGTAAATATCATACTTCCTTGTTTTCTTACGTGTTTTTGTTTGTTAATGAATTTTTCTTCTTCAATTACAGGTTATTATCGAGCTTCCACATATCTTCGCACAAGCTATAGTATATGGTGTTATAGTTTACGCAATGATTGGATTTGAATGGACCGTTGCTAAATTATTTTGGTACCTATTTTTCATGTACTTCACATTATTATACTTCACCTTATATGGCATGATGACCGTGGCTGTGACTCCAAACAACAACATTGCTGCTATCATTGCCTCAGCATTTTATGCAATATGGAACATCTTTTCGGGATTTGTAGTACCTCTATCTGTAAGTTCTAGAAATCCCATTTCACTTTTAAGTTTCTTAGATATAACAAGATCATCAAGAACTTATATTGTTACTATTTTTACTAATCCAGAGAATTCCGATCTGGTGGAGATGGTATTATTGGGCGTGCCCAGTTGCTTGGACCTTGTATGGCTTGGTTGCATCACAATTTGGAGATATAGAAGACACACTCGACACCAATGAAACAGTGAAAGATTTCTTGAGGAATTACTTTGGTTTCAGACATGATTTTGTAGTAGTTGCTGCAACTGTAGTGGTTGGATTCACAGTTCTTTTTACATTCATCTTTGCCTTCTCTATAAAGGCATTTAATTTCCAAAGGCGATAACATGTTTTTACAACAACAGTGGATTTGCACTTGATATTGGCAAGCTGGACGACCCAACCTTTGATGAGGCCTAAGGCGAAATCTCAATTAAATGCTCTTTTAATATTTGAATATTAATTTTTATATTGTGGAATATTTTGTGTAAAATTTATTTTCTTTTTCAATTATTGTAACTAAAATTCTTGATTTTAATATTAGGAGCACTTTTGCATAATGATTTTTTTTTTTTTTTTTTTTTGGGGTTCATGTAACTAAATGTTGAATATGAAATTTTTATTTATTAATCCTCTAGATAAGGAAGGTTTTTTTTTTTTTTTTTGACAGTTTCAGTAGGGATTTTAATTTTAGGAAGGAAATCTATTAAGATTTTGTTATTTTATTTTATTTTTCTATAGAAAAATAGATGGTTAATTTTTAAAATGTTCTTGTTGTCCATTTTTTTTTTTTAAACAAACACAATAAAGTAAAAAAATATTACAATAATTGGATCGATTTTTTTTTTTTTTTTTTCTTCATGAATGATACACAAAATGAATTATTAGAATTGTTGAAATGAAACTTATGGCAGGCCTCAAGAGCCCTTGGGAGAAGCCCAATCTGTAATTTTTATACACAATCTCCTTCTAAAACATAATATAATTATGAGAAATGCTATGGTACACGCCTTTTATACACCTTATAATTAAAAACAAAATGTCATAACTTTATACTTTCTACGTTATAACTAAAAGAAAAAATGTCATAATTAAATACAACATGAGGAATAACTAATTAAATAACTCATGAGTCATAACTAAAATAATGTCATAATGAAAGAAGAAAATGACATAACTAGAGGTGCATATGATATACCTTTTTTGAGGGTGTGAATATTAGAATTTCCTTATAATTACTAAGCCATAATGATATTTTTTGTCCTTCTAGAATGTAATTAATGGGATAAGCTCCCATTCCTATCTATACTTCTTTTATGGATTTTAATTTGGATCTACACTAATAATCCAAATTGTCTATCCCATAGGCCCTACAATAAAAGTCATTCATGTAAAAAAATAATTTCATCATACAACTATAAATATGGGAACAAATTATATTTTGTTTTACAATATGAATGACTCAAATTTAATTATATTTAACCATTCATTTTAAAAAATAAAATGTAATTTATTTTTGTATTTATAATTTTTCTCATGAAGTTAATTTTTTTTCATGAATGACCTTTATTGTGGAGCTTATAGGATAGACGCATTGAAACTCATAAGAAGAGTATGAGGAGGTATTGAGAGATGAGATATGAAAGGAAATTTATCCCGTAATTAAGATACCTAGTGAATCACTAATGGTGTGTTTGGTTGGGAGATTTAGGGAGGGATTTAGAAAGGGAAAGGGAAAAGGTGTGTGAAACTATGTGAAATATATACATATTTTATTCACATTTCACCTACCTTTTCCATTTCCCTTTCCAAATCCCTCCCCAAATCCCCCAACCAAACACAACATAAGAGTATTGCTAGGGATATTAAATTTTTTATCAAATGTTTTACCAAATGTCTTATATGGGGTGGATCTCACACAATTGTGGAGTCCACATTCATGTGAGACATTTGGTAAACATTTGATGGATAATTTGGGATCTCTAGCATCTTCCAATCACTAAAAGAGAAATTATTTATAGTAAAAGAAATAAGTTTTAAAATATTAGGGGTTTTTGAAAGGATTTATATAATTCTTGTCATTTTAAAAGATAAATTAGACAGTGATGAGTCTATCACCAAATTCTCCATAAAAATAAGTGAATAAAAAGGAGAAAATAAAAAATAGAAAATAGGGAGGAAAATAAAAAATAAAAGAAAAGAAGGACGAAGGTAGGATCATGGGATTATTCATGGGCTTATAGGAGAGTGGGTGAGAAAAGGAGAATGTAAGAGAGAAAAATGGGGGAAAAAAAAAATACACATTGAACATATCTTAAAAAATATATCTCAATTATTATTTTGTAATTTAAATAGATTTGAGCCGTCCAAATATCCTAATATGGTAAAAATAATTAAAAATTTAAAAATCTTTTTGTTTTATTATATATATAATCATTTGTTTTAAATTAAAATTTTAAACTTGATTGTCGTCTTATAACCTGTGAAATTCATTACGATCTCATTTCAATAGTTTATTTTATAAAATCTTATATATATATAATTCATGAAAAAAAAAAAAAAAGATTTGTCAATAGTGGTAATATTTTCAATTTTTATAAATAAAATTCTGGAAGTTTATCTAAGCCTTAACTCATTGCCCATGGGCTGGCCTATTGGGCTTTGGATTGGTCTAGATCCTTCAGGATCCGCTGGCAAGGTACAGGCCAGTGGCTCGACCTGATGGACGTTATAAGGCCCTGCCCATAAGCCCTTGCTAGAGATCCATATTAAGCCCATCTATATATTTTGTCTTATAACATGTTTGTTTGGTTTCATTCTCCGAAATTTTTTCTGAAATTTTTGAAAAATAAAAATTAATTTGACAAAAATAAATATTAAAAAAATTAAAAATTTTATTTTTACCTTATTTTTTTAATTAAAAATTTATTTTTACCTTAAAAAAAAATAAAATTATATAAAAATGATATTTGATTTTTATTTTTTTATTTTTTTCATGAAACTAGTTTTAATTTTTTTTTTTAAAAAAAAAAAAAAATCTGAAACAAGTTTGGTTTGAACTTGTGTTGCCTGATTGGATTTGAGGAGATGCTTAAGAAATCAACAGAAAATATTTATCAACTAATACTGATTAGAATTCAAGGTCACTATCCAATTTGGTGCACTGTGGATTAGGATTTCAACAGAAAATGCATTTCTTGTGTCCGAAGAAATGTGTCAACAGAATAGGGACAGAGCATGGGAACTGACAACTTTTAATTGGATTGAGGCTTTAGCATATCTTCATCCTCTTAAACAATTTGCACTGATTTTATCATACACAATGGTGATGAGGGGTGGTTTTGACTGCTGCTGGTGGTGGTGATGGTGGTGGTGTGATGAGAGAAGAAAGAGAAAGAGAAGAGGAAAATGCAGAGAAAAGAAAAAGAAAAGAGAGTAATAAAAGGGTTATTGATCTTTTTAATTCTTCCATTAGAGTCACAAAGTAAACTTGAGGTACCCCATTTTTTGGCCTAACCCCAATAAATATTTTCTCTCATTTTCTTGTTCTATAATTAGCTATAAATGCAAAAGGTGTAGTAACGGTCTTGTCCTTTATTGAAATATATCAGAGTAGGAATTGATATACCCACAAGTGAAGTCAAATTTGAGCATCTTAATGTTGAAGCAGAAGGTTATGTTGGAAGGAGAGCTTTGCCTACTTTTGTTAACTTCTCTGCTAATATACTGGAGGTATATACATATAACAATTGACACTTGACGTTATTGATTATGACCCTTCATTTTACATATTTTAATTTTTTCAATTTTGCTATTTTGTAAGTGGTTCTTCAATTTTGTTTTGTTTTGTTCAAAAGGGGTTTTTGAACTATCTACATATACTTCCAAGTAGAAAGAAGCATTTGTCTATCCTCTGTGACATTAGTGGAATCATCAAGCCTTGCAGGTGAAAATCTGCCAACAGTTTTTCCATTTTCAAATTTGTATTTTTGGGCAATTCATTTATGATATTGATCTTTCATGTGATTTTTGCAGACTGACACTGCTCTTAGGTCCTCCAAGTTCTGGAAAGACGACGTTGCTGTTGGCTTTAGCTGGAAAGCTTGATACTGAACTTAAAGTAAATACATGTCATTGAAGCTTTAACTGTTTCATGAAATTTAAGCATCAGACAGTTGTATATGGTTAATTAGTCCATCTCCAATGTGAATACTGATATTTCCTCTTTTCTACAATGCTAGATCTCTGGGAGGGTGACTTACAATGGCCATGAAATGCATGAGTTTGTACCGCAGAGAACTGCTGCATATATTAGTCAGCACGATCTTCATATCGGGGAAATGAATGTGAGAGAAACCTTGGCATTTTCAACAAGATGCCAAGGGGTCGGATCCCGTTATGGTTGATAAAAAGATTGGTTTATTTTTATTTTTATTTTCTTTTGTTTACATATGCTCAAACTATGCGCACCAATGACTTGTTGCAGGTTAAGTATGTTAATTATTCTTTTCAAACGTTTGCAGATATATTAGCAGAGTTGTCAAGGAGAGAGACGCAAATATTAAACCTGATCCTGATATTGATATCTTCATGAAGGTAATAAACGAGTGCTACCGACTTTGAAGAATTTCCTAACAATTGATGTGCTGTGTTGATACTAGTTGTTTTCATAAACGATTGTATGAGTTCTTGTCACGTCCCAATCTCCGTGACAACGCCGCACATTCATATAAGTGAGCATGCAAGGCTAAGAATCCAATCACATAACCCACAATGTAAAATACTCAAATTAAATCCTTAATTGTCATAATGTCAAAATCCATAAAAATAAATAATTCTTATATGAAAATGTCCACCAAGTCCACTAATTTAATCTACTAACAAAACAATAATCCAAGTACTTAAATCATGGTCCTACTCTCGGCACTCCCACATGTAAAAAAAATCCCGCGCAGCTCTACTCTTCAGAATCTGAAAAAAGTAAGGGTAAGCTAGATAGTCCAGTAAGGCCTAGTTTGGAAAGATTGAAAAAAGATAAAAAGTCAAAAAGTCACTATCTTATTTAAGTCACATCATCTCTCTAACACATCACTTCAAACCCAACCCAAACCCAACCCATATTTCATAAAAAGTCAAAAAGTGCACTTATTTAGTCTTCCCAAAAAAAATCCCGCGCAGCTCTACTCTTCAGAATCTGAAAAAAGTAAGGGTAAGCTAAATAGCCCAGTAAATAGCCAACCATCACTGCTAGCTGGATCAAGTATACAAAAATAAATAAATAAATTGATAACCAATAAATATAATTTTTTCTACAGTTCAATAAATGAACAATCATTTGTAAGGTGGTTTCATAGCTAAAAATAAACAATGTACAATACATTTTAAATGAAAAGCCAACAAGATAATTCAAAGTAATTCGTTGTTCAAATCGATGGTTCGATATTCAGATGGTTCAATGATTTGATCCACAAAACCCAAGTCTTAATGACTACGGTCACTTACCCTGTGACAAGGCCCAGAACCACACATAGGCCGGTGGTAAAGCCCCAAAAGAAACTAG